GACAGTATTGGGTAGAGAAGATAAGTGGTACACATAGGAATAACTGAAGCTTCACAAATGCCAATCAATCCTTGTAGAACAAGGCTGGAGTACTGAACACATTGCGTTTTTAAAACAGTCAGTACATCGGATAGAGGAGGTATGCTGGATCGCTAAAACGTGTGCATAAGCATCAGTCAAAGAAATCAATAGGTTTAATAAAATCTCATTTGGTTTTTAAAATGTGTATACGTATACCTTTGGGTGATTTCTTTCCTCTATTGCAATTCTTGAGTAGCAGTTTAACAAGTAAGTTAAACTTTTGGGTTGCGACGATTTGCTGCCTATGGGTAATGGCATAGTCGGTAATTGGTAAGACGGAAGAGCCATGACAGGACTTAACAGAGGACTCGCTTGGTTATTCGGACTGTCCTGTCGATCGGACGACATATCTATCGTGATATCGCTCAAAAGATCTTCTCCTTTCGAAAACATACACAAAATCTCCATCAAGGCTTGGTTGATGATTTCACTAAAATCCAGCTGTCTCTGTTTCAGCGTGTACGCTGCTGTTTGTGGTAAGAATATAGTTCCTTCAACGGAGCTTTTCCACGATATGCGCAAGACGCGTGATATGACAACATGTATGTGATCTGTTGTAACTTCTATGCTAGAGCTCGTCGTCTAAAACAAGTCGCAACAGAGATAAATATAGATAAAAATAATGAATAATCCGTTTTCATCATATTAGAAGAAAAAAAAAACAGATGCTTTTTGCCATTTATTAATACATGTACGTTTGTTCTATTTTTTTTCCATTATATAAACTATAAAGATACTTACACGCGATCGTGGTATCGAATCTTTTCTATCCGATTCGTCGACCTCCATGTTTTCAATTCCTGAATTATCCATTTCAGTAATATTACATTGTTTATCGTTGCTCTCTTCTACTTCCATTGGTATCTCAGCACGCTGTAATTGTTGTTGAATAGACGGAGATATTGATCCTGGGAATGCTTTTGATAGCTCCGAAGTACTCGGGGAAGTTGGAGCAATAGCATTAGACGAACTGGCAGTTGCATTATTATTGTTGAAGCCCTCTAATCGGGCTAACCGCCTTCTTCTCATCTACAGCAAACGTGAGACAAAGGAGTTGTGTTGTGAGCTCTTTTTAGGACTACTCTGTCAAAGGTTGCTTAAAACAGATTGAATTATTTATGTTTATGTTACTCATAAGCTATTTTTATCCACTGGTTTAGCTCGTGACAATAAAGAGAATAAAAGCTACAAAGTCCAGTCATTTCTTCGATACAATACTCTGGTCAACGAAAGGTTTATCAATTCATTTTTTGCGCATAGGAGACAGCGCGGCAAACAAAGTGGAGCGGTATCATAAATACTATATACATAAATACAGCATACTCGGGCCCGGGTTTAGAAAATTGAGCGGGTGAACGAATCTCAAAATCCTTACTTTGCCTTCTATGCGCAGAGTGGTCTTTTGTTGAATCTCTTGTTGAACAGAGTATATACTATTATATTCATATCTTCCGAGATATGAATCTCAGAGAATGAAATGAAAAGTCATGCATTTGTTGAGAAATCACAATTTCATTACTTGCATAAATTTCTGCAGCCAGAAATAATAATATAATCTTGCTAGAAACAAAGTAGACGAAGCAATTAAGTAGACGAAAGGAAATAATGAGGAACGGAGTTGGATAGGGAGCAAACAGAACTTTATTGTCTCTATTGTCGCAATTAAGTCGCGAAAATAGAGGAATCATCAAATAGTAAACAATTGCTTCTGCAAAGCATTTGGATCATTTAAATATTAGATTAGAATAAACACACGTTGACAAATTCCATGCCAAATTTTCTTTATTAAAGCGCAAGATTGATTTGCATAGCGTCCATTATATAAGTAGTTCTTTGCAAGCGTGTGAGTCGCTTCGTTTGGGGGATAGAAAACAAAGAAAACAATATATGTATAACCCAACAAGGAAAAATACAATTTCCTTTGGGGAAGTCTCTCTCGAAATCGAAATCGCGAGCGCAAACAATGGACCTGTCCTTGATGACTCGTTTCAAAATTAAAGAAAAAATACATATAAATTTATGATTTTTCGAAATCAGGGAAGAGAAATGGATGGAAAAGATGAGAAAAGATCTCCGACGAGAGACGTGCTTGCTCCGAGAGAAAAGTAATATTCCGGAACGGACACGAGCGTGGGGTCTCGCTTGACAAGAAATCGCAGGCAGATAAGTATAAGGTATGCTGGTATGCGCGGGAAATACATACACAAATACAATACAACACTAACAACGCGGAGCAGAGGGAATATTGCGAGGGCGAGATTGCGAGAGAGGAAAGGACCAGAAAGGACACGAGAAGAAAGATAGGCGAAGATAGACGAGGGGAGGGGGAAGCACACGCTTTCCTTCACCGATACAGATACTCACTTCTTCCTGGCTGAGCTCGCTCATGGCGATCGGTCCTTATCCCAGCTCGATATCCTGGATATCCTGCCCGCTCTGTGTCTCCCGTCTCCTGGAACTGGCTCGGATGATGGTGCTAACTGGTGCTAACCGCAACTAGTGCTACTACTACGAAGTACGACGGCCACGCGCCTCTTCCTTCGCGTCGCGTCGCGTCGCGTCGCGTCGCGTTCACGCAAAGGGGAGTATCGTGCTCGACGCGACGACACTCGTGGCCACTCGTGGCTCGTGGCTGAGATACGTCAATGTCAGAGATCTGGACAGTCACTCCACATCTGTTTGCGTTTGGACGTGGATGCAGCGATCTCGCGTCGAGTCACGGCCAGTGACCAGTCGGCCAGTCGGTCAGGTCGGTCTTGGTCGATCTGGTCAGATCTGATTGTGAGAGGACGTCCGAGGTCCGAGTCGATTGGGTGACGGGCTGACGAGTGACGGCCTGACGCAGCCTGACGAGTCGGTCGCTTCGCTCTGCAATCTGCTGTGCCGTCTGCGTCGTCTCTCGACGATCTCGTTGAAAACAGCTGAGCAACCAACGCCGAACGCGTCGACGTCGCACCGTCGCACGCGCTCTCTACTTCCTTCCGTCCTTCTCTCCCATTCTCACCGTCGCGTCGCGTCGCGTCGCGTCGCATCTATCGGTGGGCGAGAGTGGGTGGGAGTATACTCTGAGCCTTCTCTTATTTCAGCCTATTTTAGACGATCTATAATCTATAATTCAGGACAAGGATCGAATAATTGACGTGTAACAAGCTTACCTTATGTGCGGGAAATGAGTATAAATCCATTTTCGACGACCTACATCTCCCTACGGAGTCCGCGAGACTCAATTCGGCAGAGATGCAAGCTGTGGTCCATTTGACGCTACAAACGCTTCGAAGCATTCTTTGATTAGTCAATTCGTAAAATTTTTTGTTCTGATTGGTCGCTTAAACGCTTCGAAGTGTTTGTAGCGTCAAGTGGACCGTAGCCGCACATATAAAATATAGGTCAGCGCGATGAACGCGAAATTCGTTTTATTTCATTTATAATTTAATTGTGAGAAACATCCAAGTCGAAATCTATGTGTAATTCAACATTTAACGTATAATAAATCTGTGATAAAGAAATAATATTTATTATACGTACGTTATTAGATAAAGATACGATATTTGATAGATGAAAGATTTCCAACACTTATTGCCGTTTGTATTTACCTCTTTTTCCTTGTTGACAATGGCGAACTGAATTTTCCCGCGCACATATTGATAAATCTTCGATTATCGACTCTTACCTTCATTTTTAAATGCGCGAATGCGACAGTATCAACGAATCAAGACTATCAAGAGAGACGCAATTGATAAATGATGTTTAAATTTGACATTTATCAATTTTATCGAATATTGTGTCGACATAATATGAAACGCCAAAATTGAGTAAAATTACAATGTCATTAAGAATTAATTAACTACAGGTGCCATTCTCCTGCACAGTACTTTCGCGCGCACATTACATTTTTCTACGAACGTCTGAATTAATTTACACGCACATCGGAACACATGATGTTTATAGCTAAATATCTTTTCTTCTTTTCTCTCCACGTTGAAGAAAAAGAAAAAAGAGAAAATTCTAAACTGTACAAGAAGTTTAGCTGAGAAAAAATAAGTCTTTTACGTGCAACTTTACTGCAAACTTTCTTCAAAGAACAATAGTATCGAGCTTTTGTGTTTCCCATATTCTTCCCATAAACAAATAAACTCCATAAAGCGTCTAAATTTATTTCAATTGTTAGAACATCAACAGTCCTGTGTGTACATATACAATGCAGTATGTTCTAGCTGTGATATTACGTGTTTAATTACGTTACCAACCTGGTGAACAAGAATGGAATTAAAATAGATTGAAATTTTATCTATCCGAATGCATCCGAATGCAAATAAAAGCGGAAACTTTTATTGGATTCAATTGGATTCAATCCAAATTTAATTGGGGATTCAATTAGATTCAATTCATAGAATGCAATTGGATTGAAAAACTGCATTTCCCATTCAGAGCTTTAAATTGAACAATATTCACGATGCACAGGAAAAGCTGATATTTTTTTTTTAATTGAAAGCTATAGAAATGTGCTCCATGCAATTCTTATGAACAAGAATGAATAAGAATGCATTCCAGATTGAAAGGGATTTATTTTAACGTTCGCGAATGCGTATTATATTTCTGAAAATCTGAATCCTGCATTTCAATCCATTCTCGATTACAATAAGGAATTGAAGGAATTAAATACACTGGATTGATCTCAACTGTCTGCTCTTTTTAGTTCACAGTTCATCTTTTCCTTTCCAATGTGAATTAAAAGAAAAAAAGAAAAATAAACTAGCTGTAGTGTAACAAGTTGATCTCAAGTGCATTAAAAAGAACACAGGCTTTGCAGGATTTGAAAGCTAGCGTTCGAACCGAACCGCGGCGCGAGTGAGGTAAGGTGAGGTTAGGGTTAGGGTTAGGCTAGGTGAGATGAGGTTAGGTTAGATGGGACAGTTGAGCGCTGAATCAGCAGCTGACGAGATTCATGTCGCTCGTCGCAGTCAGTCGCCGGCGGCTGGGAGTAGCCGCGAGGCTGTTTGTATCATCATTATCGCAATCGTTCAAGTCACAAGTTGACGGACGGTTGTCAAAGACATAGGAGCGAAAACAGCGAAAACATCAGTCTCCTTCGTTTTTACAAGTCTTCTGCCGCAATCTTCATTGCGTCTCTTGCAGCAATCTTCATTACAAGTGGCACCCTGGCGAAATGGACATCTGGAAAATAATCGATTTCGCATCGCTTGGTAAAAACTCGACTCGCTTTCGCAATAAAGTGCGCAAAAGTGCATGCTCCCCGTCTCTTGTTGCTGTTATTGTTGTCGCGACTCTCGCTTCGATTCTCGCTTTCTGTTGCTTCCATATGTTTTCATCACGTATGCGCGCGTTCCTTAGGGACAATTGTAAAAAGGTTGTATTCCAAAATTCACTGCAAGCATCGAAAATCTATATAATAAGTTAGTTTGCGTTACGTGTACCATATAGACATAGACTTTTAGCATCGGCCGCGGCTGAGCGAATTTTGAATTAACACACAGCCCAAGAGCTATATCTCGTACACTATCGTACAGAATCGAATGTGATATTAATATTGCTGTAATTTATGTAATTTATACAACAGTTGTTTGCATTGTATGTACATATATGTAAAATACATAGGCGAAGGAGGTATAAGAGATCAGGCATTTCGACATTTTACAATATATCTATATTAAGAATTTATATTGCAATAATCGAACGCGTCAAGCTGTAAAGTGTAAAGAAATTAATGAGATTTACAAGTTTGGAAATTTTAAATTCAAGACATTGCAAAATTAAATAGCTTAAAAATATTTAACTTCTTAAAATTAAACATCCTCTATATGTATGTATAGCTTATTATCTCATAATATTGTATTTTCGCTACAGTCTAAAAATCGTTGGCTTTAAATACCGAGAGATCATTCGGGAGAGTCCCTGGGAGATAAGTCGGATAATCAGTCCGTGATGTTAGTTTGATAATAAAAGTCCCCTGATAACGAGACTTGACGCCGTGTTTTCTCAAACTATCAAATAAACAAGTTTACAATTTACAGTCATATATGCCGCGCGCAGCATATACCCCATAATATTACCTAATTAATAATTGCACATTACATAGCTCTTATTTCATACATACTAAGACTCTGTCTCACGTGCAAATATTATCCAAAATATCGTTATATAAAAAAGATACGTCTTTTCTTCACGGAAAGTCATATTACCAACAATTATTTATGTGATCAAACCTATTACAGTTCAATTCGAGTTATGAGATTATAAATATTCGTAATAGAATGCATTTTTAACAAACTGAAAACACGGTGAATCGTTTAAATAGGCCACATGTGTTTTTTCTTATAGGTATTTAAAAGTTAAAGATTTTTCTTATTTGTTTAAAATTGTTTTCGGAATGCGCGCGAAACGTTGGTTTTCTCGATATCGTATTAAACTTTGCGAGATTCGCGCGCAACGATGGCGACCAATCAAATCGAACGAGACGCGTAGCGCGAGATAATTAATTGCAATTGCAGTGATGGCTGAAATAATATATTGAGTGAAATTTCAAAACCTTTTTCGAACAACAGGTACAACAAAATTGACTGAAATAATTAAATTAAAAACTGTTATATATATATATATATATACAGTTTAGATTACATATAGTTTCAATTTATTTTGTGGTGCATATAAATATTACATATAAAGTGTCTCAAAACTGACGATAAATATTTTAAAGACAGATTCTTTGTAACATTTTAAAACGAAAATGTGGAGACTATGGTTATGATAGTTTTCAAATGGAAAGAGTTTAAAAATTATGAATGACGGAGCTAGAATTTTGCGCGCTCAGAAATGACAAAATGGCCGCTGTGAAGATGTTAAATTTTGTTATTGTCAAAGACATCAAGTTCGAGGAAGCACCTTCACATTGAGCATTTTGCCATCCTTGAGCGTGCGAAAGTCTATCCCCGTCATTCGTTAATTTTTGAACTCTTCCTATTTAAAAAAACCTATTACAGAGAGAGAGCCTCGACATTTTTGTATTAGATTTTTCGTCTTAAAATGTTACAAAGAATCTATCTACAAAATATTTATCATCAGTTTGGAACACCCTGTGTGTGTGCGCGTGCGTGTGCGCGTGTTTGTATACGCGCGCGCTCGCGTGTTTGTATACGTATCATATATCATAGATAATGTGTATGATCATAGATAATGGATATATGATAAATATAACAAATTGATAAACACGGATAAATTACATATACATTACAAAGTTACATTTTATGTTTGGAAATTTTTATAATTGAGTTATTTTTAGTTATACGTTTATATACAATTCCCTACTTCATACGAGTCACACACACCTATCGTTAAGGATCATCCACAGATTTCTTACATGTCAATAAACCGGTGCCAGTTGATGGATGTACCGTTTTGCAGACGGAGAAACTCAGGAGCTGATAAAGGAGAGCGCGGCGGTCCGTGAAAACGCGTACTCGCCATACAGTAAATTCAAGGTCGGCGCCGCGGTACGATGCGTCGACGGTAGCATCTCACGAGGCTGTAACGTGGAGAATGCGTCCTATCCGGCGGGCGTGTGCGCCGAGGTCACGGCAATCGCGCGGGCTGTGTCCGAGGGGAAGCGAAAGTTCACAGCGTTGGCCGTCGTCGCCGATCAGGAAAACACTTCGTTTACCACGCCATGCGGAGTGTGCAGGCAGTTCATGTCCGAGTTTGGCGAAAACATGCCCATCTACTTGACGAGATCCGATATGAAGAAAGTTCTACGGACTGAAGTGAACGAACTGTTGCCGCTCTCACCCTTCCGCACGAACGGTACGGAGACTTCATAATTTATCCTCGTTGTTGAAAGCGATGTTCAAACAACACGGAGGCTACAACGGAAGGCGTTGAATTTTTCTATGTACTTATCCAGAGTATTTATCCAGAATCGAACATTTGTAAATCTTGTTACATTCATATGATTCGGCATATCAACACGAGACTTTATTTCAATGAAATTAAAATCGACAATGCATAAGTATTATTTACAATGATGTGATATATGTATATGAGTAATGAAATAGCTATTGTATAAAGTGACCATGAGTTTACACACGCACACGCACACGCACACGCGCACGCGCGCGCGCACACACACACACACACACACACACACACACGATACGAGACTATCATAAAATCTTGAACATGATTAATAATTTCATAAAAGTTATAAATGCAAAAGGAGGCGATTGCGCACTTACGAGGATTCATCTTTGACGAGTAAAGTTCGTCTCTCATCATTTACCAAAACGGACACCTATAATGGTATGCAACAATGAGATCAATGTTCACATTTTTTAATATAATTTATATACAATCGTTTTTTTTTTGTAATATCAGAATAAACTCTAAGTAAGTTGTTGATATATATATATATATATAATATGAAGATATATAGATTGTAAATGATAAAAATAAATAACTAATGTGCCCGAAATTTTCTAGTTATAAATTATTACGTACCATCCAATATAGCATTGGCAAAGATTTTCGTTATTTGTAGCTTGCTGGATCAACAGATCGACTTGTTGTCGGACGCTGAGAGTTTCTTCATGCGAAAAGTCACGCCCTGTTAATTTGTCTCTGACTCTCGTTATGATCGTCAAGGCTTTCTTGTTCAATGCTTCCGGTTGATTATTATCAGCTACGGACATTGCAAAAGCGAAGGCTGTAGATGTCACGATAAGAAAGTTAAAAGTGATTTTTTATATAAATTATTTTTTGTTGACTAAGTTTTTAATTTTTTATGTTTCATCAATTTTGATTAAAATCTTTATATATAACACATGTATGTATGTGCGTGCGTGCGTGTGTAACACACACACACATATATATATAAAAACAATTAATTTACAAGCAATGTGACGATGTCAAGTTGAAGTGACTTAAAAATGCAATTACCTTTACCTCCATTTTCAATGCTACATGGCACACCCTTCTTTGGTAATGTGGCGGTAAGAGAATCGAGCATATCACCGTGTTCCTGACTGCTGCTGGCACTCATGCCTTGAGCGTCCGATCGTTTGCCCTTGGGCACCGTATTATCCATCAGTCTCCAATTCAGGAGAGGGTCATAAACAAATGCCTCCAGAACCGCCATTAGACTGTCCTTGTTTCGATGTAGCACGGACATCACGGATTCGCAAGTCCTTCTATACGTTCCCTCGATTCCGGTCACCTCCATCGCATTGATCAACATTCGCGTCAAACGGAACGGTATCTTCTCCGGGAACTTTTCGCGTGTCATCGCCACCTCGAAGCAATCTCCGAAGTCGATGTGCAATATCTTACCACTGAGACGGTCGAGCATTAAGTTAGATGGATGACGATCACCGAGACCGAGTATGTATCCCACCATAGACATCACAGCCAGAGAGCGCGTATAGTTTGTTCTACGATCAAACCATACTTCGCTCGACGGTGACTTCAACCACAAAAGTCGTGCTAGGTCGTCGCCGTGGGTATGCTCGAGCGCGTGCTCGAACACTTCAACTTTTTGCATGAGTATGAGGTGATCATAATCAGGTGCCATCTAAAAAAAACATAAAATGATATTGTATTATAAGAAGGTAACGTATGGCTCTAAGAGTGATAAACTCGTAATGAACGATTCGACCTGATACCTTTTATACGAGGTTAATTTGAAAATTGTAAGTGAAAAAATATATGTACGAGATAAATAACCCGTTTTGGAAATCTACGTATCGTATCGATATAAAATTTATAAAAGATAAGAAAACGGAAAATATACATTCTCGTATTTATCTTACAATGTATACTCTAGACAAATTTCTTAATATTTCTTAATATAAAAATTTATAAAGTAACCCCCTCACTCGTAACATTATCCTGTGCTCGATGTTCAATAATATTTTCTTCTTCTCTCTGTAGTCTCTAATAAGTGTATGAAGCGTATCACAATGCGGTACCCAACCGATAAGACCACTGTTTGTAGATAATGGAATCACAGCGTATCTCTAAACATAAAGTCACAATATTTATTTATTTTTTTTAAACATATGTCTCTAACAATTATAATATTATAAATGTGTAAAATGCTCAAACTCTCTTACTTGAATAGTAAGGTTTCTTCGGAAGGTATCTGGATCATGTAACAAGAGAGTGTTCACTAAACCGAATAACTGCATTACCCTTTCATCTTGTCTCAGATCCTCATGACCTTTCAATAGAAACATATAATCCTTACCGTTACTACCTACAAAATACATATTAAAGCAAATCAATATTATCAGCATGGTTTTTTTAATCAAAATATTCGAATCCAATTTACTTTTAAAAAATAACTGACCTTTAATGCACAACTTTCTTGGTCTCTGTTTGCTAGTTATCACCTGCATAGAGCTATGAATACTTGCTATTCTCACGATAGGTTGGCCAGGACTATAGCTTCCCGGAACAGCCAACTCCAGATCTCTGCAAATTAGCAATTTCGGACTGACATATTGTAATTCCAAACTGGTCAATTGTGGCAATTGTCGGGATATCCTCCGGAATACATGATAATACAAATCCCAAGCCTGATTCAAATCTCTCACGTTCCGAGATGTTTTATATCTGTTACACCATTCTTGTGCTTCTATTAAATCCCTTCCGTAAGCTTGATTGAAGGACGTCTCTTTTAGAGTTTGCGGCCCTCTTTCGAGCATGGCGTGTAAAGGCTCTAGAGTGTCAAACATGCCTCTAACGTTCCTCTCTCCAAAATATAATCTACTAGCCTCTTCTAAGCCCTCGTGCCACAGTTCGTGCCATAAAATCGCAACTCTGATAAGCTCATCGCTCGCCATCATGGCCTGCTGGACCAATGTCGGACTGTGCTCACACATGCTCTTCAGAATTTTATTAGCTGCAGTCTTTCTCGCGTGGCTAGCACTTTTTGAAGCCACTGTCAACGGATAAACCAAAGCCTGAGGGTGCGTCTTTCCTATATCTATGAGAAGATGATGTATGCATCGGCCGACCAGTGTTCTAGGAGTGTCGATTCTGGCTATGAGTTGTGGAATCACTTGCAGCCAAGTATTTATCTCTATTAATCTTATGCCCTCGACCACAGCTTCATACACCTCTGGCCACTGACCATAATCGAACCAGAGTGTAAGCAGGCGGAGGGTGTCTTGCAGGGAGTTACCATCCGACAAGTTGATGGACCTGAAAAATCCCTTCACAGCTGGGACAGTAAATTGAGATACATGTTGTGAGCTGGAGAGATTATTGCGCGCTCCGTTGCCTGATGCAGCCTCCGTTGCCTGAGCAGAATCACTACCTTGCTGATGCTTGTAAAACAAAACGGACTCGTAATTGGTATAGGCAAAGGCATGCCAAGCTTTATACCATGTGGGATCATGCTCCGTCGCTGCGGCATAATAAGATAATACCGCGGGAATAGAATGTTCGTTTATACCCTGCAAGGATTCGAGCCACTCGCCGAGCTTAAGGTAACACCTGGCGAGCAACCTCTTTTTGCTTTCATACTGCTTCTCGTCCTCTTGATTGATTATTGCCGCTGTTGTCGGCTGCAAGTAGGTCTGCACAAATCGCTGTAGCTGATTGTAAGCCTCCTCGCGTTTATTCGCAACCCACAAGTGCTTGCAATAAGCGAAGGTCACCTGGGGATGAGTAGTCGGCAACGGCTGATCTGGAGTCAGGGACGGATCTGTGCCCATCAGCATCACCAGCGTTTTGTGACACAGCATCAAAATCATCGTGCGGCGAGACTACCAGCGTGTGTACTTGTATGATCTTCTGCCAGTCTTCAACTATCTTTTGTCCACCCTGAAGCCTCTCCCACCACATGGCTTTGATGGCCGCTCTACGTTCGGGCACCAGCTTAAACTGGATCACTTCTTCCAACTCGGCCAATTTCTGCACTTCCACCATAGCGTTGTACGCCCGTTGATAGCTCTCACCAGCCATGGCAGTTAGTTCAGTGTCTAACAGATCCCTGGCACTGTCGATAAACTGATGCGCAACGTTGTACTGTTCGTCGTGGATCGCCAGTACCGCTCTGTAAAACGCTCCGTCTTGGGTATCCTTTGGTATCAACGAAACATACTTCTGCATACTTTCCCATTGACTCAAACCCCACGCCGCAGCCGCCGCCATTCTCGACATTCTTTGTTTGGTATCGTCGGTCTGATTCGTCCATTGTTTTGTAGCAACCTCATGCAATTGTCCCCATTCTCCGAGAGCCTCCAGACAACGCATCTCTCCCAAAGTAGACTCTACGTCTGCGGAATCACTCTCGAGACGTTCCTGATATAGCTGCAACGCTTTATCCCAATTGTGAAGTTTCTCGTACCAACGTATCTGGACCTTGAGATCTTGCTGGTTGTGATTCATCACATATTCCAACAGACCTTCGGCCGCTTCTTTCTGTTGAAGTTTGTTATTGATGGAAATCAGGGACTCGAACACGCTGCTGTTCCTGCTCTTGTGGAACTCGTCCTCCTTGTAGTGTAACGCCTTGGCATACGCACGACAATGCATCGCCGTATCCCCGAGAATCTTATTGTCTAATGGCAGGGGACCCTTGTCAATGTGTTCCATGAATTCAGCCAAGTTGAGAATGGTCTGTGTCACTTCGGTGGGCAGATCGGGGACCATCAATGCTTGATGCAGAGTCTGTATCAGTTCCATCCGGTAGTTTTCGGCGAGTTCGGTCCAGCATGAGACGAAAGCCGCGTTGAACAGATCACGCGGTAACACGGCATAGGTTTGCGCCAGCGCCCAGCAAGATCTCAGAGCCGGAGACGGAGATTCTTTGAGCAGACCGATGGAGAAACATCGCAGCCATTCGAGCCAATCGTCTTTGGATACTCGTCGTGTCGCTGTCCACGCCTTCTGCAAATTCGAAGCCGATACGTTCAGTTTCTTAATCGTTTCCGAAGGCGTTAAGGAAAACTCGCGATTCTTATTGCGCGAGTGTCGCATTCTCATCAGTAAGAAATCTTCGCCGTCTGCCGCGGTCGAGTCTGTGAGTATCTTGTCTACTAGAACGTCGTATCGTGAATTGACTATCTTGTGCTTTGTCATAACTTTCTGGACTAACACAATGAAAATCTGATACTTCTTGCCCAACTGCATTACGACAGCGCAAAGTGTGTCCATGGCCGTACTCCTTAATTCTGGACACTGATCCAACGTACGTACCAGAGTGTGAACGATTCGCGACGCGAAATCTGTAAAATCCAACGTGTCCGCGAGGAGATCGACCGTTTCGAGAGCAACCTTATTCACGGCTATTGGGCAGTCATTTGCGTAAAACAGTTTAACAATCGGCGGAAGTACGAGGTGCAGATAATTGTCCAGATTGTTCCCAAATGTCTGCAGAGCCAGAAGCAGCTTCACCGTCACTGCGCGATCTTTGCTGCTATCGTGCGTTAATACTCGGAGTATCGGCGGCATCAGCTGTGGCAGGTAGATTTTGAATTCCGCGCCTAGGGCCATTGCGATCTGTTCGACCAAAAGAATCAACGTACTCTGTAACGGGCTGTTCACGGTCCAGAATTCTTTGATCAAGATGAATATGTCGTCCAAATAGTTGCGTATATGTTGCTTCACGATGGCGATGAGAACAGCCAACTGTTGGAATAGGAACTCACGGAAATTCATGTCCGCCGTGTGCACGACGTTCAGGAAGCTCGGCATTACCTGAGAGATATAAGGTACGCATTTTATCCCAAGACTCTTAAATATGAAGGTCACCGCTTGCACGACCATGGTGTGATGCTGAGACAAGGTCGGTTCGCGAATAATTCGCATAAGCGTCGTAATGGCAATCGCCGGATAAAATTCTTCCAATGTGGACGGTGACATGTTCACCAGCATTTCACTGGTTGTCAAATCCTGAGTGTTCTCCACGTCATTTTTGGTGTCTGCCATTGAGGTGAGCGTGTCCAACTGGCAGTCAATTTGTCCGAGATTCATCTTGTGTTTATACGGATCTAATGCACCCAACTGTCCGAGCACTCTAATGGCCTCTCTCCTGATGATCGGCTGTTGTTCGGTTTTGAGGAAATTAATAAGAACGTCCAGCAAAGACGGATATTGTATGTACGGTTTTACCACGTGACCTGTACTACCAACTAATTGACCAAATACCCACAATGCTACTCCTCTTTTCTCAGGCGAACTGGCGTCTACCAACATTTCCAGTAATATCGACGAAAGCTCGGACATCCACTGTTGCATCTCGGCACCGTTGACCTCCGCCAAATCACCAATCGCGCGCAGAACGGCTAGCACAACGCCGGGATTAGGATCGGATTCCTTTAACTTTGGCACAAGAACTTTCAAAATTGGCTCCATGTATGGTCGAACGAGTCTCGGCGCAGTCACTACCAGGTGATCCAACATTCGAGCGGCTTGTTCCTTGTTACGACCCATACCCGAGTGCTCCAATTCCGTCAGAAATTGCACTAAAGTCTTCCTTAACGATGGCATAACGTAAGCGGGATTCAGTGTGCTGAGTCGGCCAACAGTACGAACCGCTAGTTCTCTTATTTCAAACATCTCGTCGTTCATGGCGATAAACAGCGCAGACAAATTCTCCGCTTGCGCTAATTGAACGTCAAAGGAATCATCCAATGACGCCAACACCCACAGACGAACGTCGGGATCTGTGTCGGTTATACCTACTACCAGCAATTTACCCAGAACAGTCGAGACAGTAGTGGTTACCGTAGGACCGGACTGATTCAGTGTTAATCTCAATAACCTAGAGCACGTCTTGACAGCTTCCAATCGGACCTCCGCTTGTTCCGACGTTAAAAAGTGATCCGCGCATCTCTTGACGAACTGTAACAATGGATTATTGTCAAAGTTAAAGGTACCTAGGGTTTTCAATGCAAGTACCGTCGACGAAACGTCATCGTTGGTAGAACTAGGACTAGTTGCTGTCCATGGCGCACCGGGATGTCTCAAGGGTTTTTGCATTAAAACTTGCGACAGCATTCGCAAGAGACCTTGAGATATATCCACCTGGAGAGACGGGATGGTGTGCGCCAGCTCTCTGAGGGCCGTGGTCAATATTGGGCTCAATCCGGTTTGAAACATGGGCTCCAACAAGTCCCTTACATCGGAAGCTATGACTTGTTTGACCGCGTGGCTGAGCAGGGTGATGCAAACAAACACTGCCGGTTCCAAAGAAGTACGCTTCTTGCTCGGGGTTTCTTTAGATGGTAGCAAACTTTTGATCACTTCCATGATTTTCGGCAAGTACGGATTTATCGCATCCTCCACTGCCACGGCTATAAAGCCGATCGACGTGAAAGCGGCGTAGCGATCTTTTTCGCGACTGCGTAGGATTAGTAAAAGGTATGCCAAGGACTCTTTCAAATGATCCCTTATAAATTTGTCCTTGTTAAATGCGGCGAGCCTCGGCAATAGCATCATGAGGGCATGTTGAATATGCGGATTCCTCGATATCTTTTGATTCATAACGTCATTATAAATATCGTCCAACCTCTCCTGCATCAAGCATCTGCAAACGGTCGACTCGTGCGCCGGATATAATGTGTGTTGGGACGCAGTCGCGTTCTGGGTAGACCCGGCCCATTTGGATCCTATCGTTGTCTTCAAGCATGGCATTAAAGAAAGTATATCATTTTCATTTTGCGTAGAGCCATTTAATCTTTCCATTAGAGCCTCATAGTTCCTTTCCCACTGAACATTGCTGCATCTTAGCAGCTCGTTGAGTACCAATAGCGAGCCATGTATCCTGTCATCCCTGTTAATGCCCTTTTCTTTCGAATGAACCTCCTCGAATCCATCAATTACTTCGTCGTAGCACTGTTTGTACCATTGCGACTTGTGCATTTGCTTGACAGTTTCCCTTTGAGCAGTAACTACCAGAGCCGCTCTCAAAGCTTCTACCGCACCTTCCCGTATAGCTGGCTTAGGATCGTGTATAGCGTTGAATATCAACTCGAAAAACGGTGTAACTTGTTGGAAAAAGTATGTCGGCACAGAGACAGCGAGTTCTCTTAGTACGAGTACCGCGGCATGCTTCCTGCCCTCGTGTCTGTCCGCACCAAGCCACTCGAAGGCACGTTTTACCTCAAACTCGACATATTCGGCTGTATAAGTACCAGAAACTAGCGCCAATTTTCCGACAGTTTTCGCAGCTAATTGCATGACGCCTACGTCGTTGGAAGGTATCAAATTTCTAAGATAGTTAGCAAATCGTACCGTTCGTGTATTAAAATTACCTACGTCCGCTCCTATAAGGCAAACTATGGCTAATATACCACCTTTCTTCTCATTAATATCAGAGGCGGATACCATTTCGAATATGTGATGATTGAATTCATCCATAAAAGCTGTGATCTCTTCCTGTGACGCCTCCCGCAGTTCCCTCTTGACATACAGACACAGATCGCGTGCCGCCTTGTTGCGTGCCTCCTCATTTCTTGACTTGAGTCGCTGGACAAACTGCTGCATCAGTGTATTTGACATTGTTTTAGCATTAGATGTATATATCAGAGTGTAAAACATAACAGTCTAGATTCCATCTGATTCCTATCATTTGACACTGTAAAAACATCATTTTCTTTATTCCTCGTTAGATTATTTCGCATCACTTATGTAGCTATATGGCATTGAACAATAAAACCGATATGTTAGTTATTACGTTTGCACCTACTTGACTATGTGGATTCCTTTTTGCGGCACAGCATTGTTGCTAGCAATGCAAATGCTTCCATTTATGTGATGAAAAAAACGTGGAGTCCTCATTTATACAAAGTAATTCAATATATGTATGTATATGTGTATATATATATGCAGTGCATATCCAATCTCGGGTATTCTCCGTCCACAATATCATGTTTCTTACTTATCATCCATTAACGAACGACCAATTTGTTCGTTACTTTGTTGCATAACTCGTACGTCGCTCTCGTTACGTCCCGCGACAAAAAATATTAAGAATATAAATATTTCTTCCAAACGCGCGAAGATCATAACCTTACAAGCAAAGACGTATACCGATTGAATTGGCACCACTCATGGCACCACTGTCGTAACATGATAGCAGCATTCTCCTTTTCAAGCTCTGTGTTCACGTAGAGACACTATAATAAGAGACTGACATAGATGGGTTAATTTTTGATAGGCTGGATATGGAATGGCAGAAGCCAATCAAAAGTCATGCTGGTAATAGATGATAGTACAGCCCGAATTCTGATGGGCTTCTGCTTTCCTACTTTTTCTGCTTTTCCGTCCTAGTTGTGAACGCGTCCTATGACTTATCGTCCTGTGAACGCCATTTATTATCCAACTAGAACTTATGGCAGTCCCTTATTATAGTGTCTCTATGTCTACGGTGATGATAGAGATCTCTAATGCTGGATTCACACTGCATCCGATTTTTATCGT